TGAGGTGCTAGCAAAGCTGCCCCCTACAGATGCTGTCGTTTACTGAACACACCTTACGGCAAACATGGTGCTTGGGACTGAATAATCACTTGAGGTAATTTTCATTGTTCTTATACTCCAGATACAGAAACTAAGATGAAAATTAATGGCTAAATCAATGTGTGGTTATTTAGTGAATGTGAACCTCCATTAAAAATTCTAAAGTAATAGAAAAAAGACTGAATTTAGATGGTTAAGGCTGGGGCAGTGGGGGCCAGGCATAGTGGCACACAGCTGCGATCCCAACACTCGGAGGCTGAGGTGAGAGGACTGCAAATCCAATCCTAGCCTGGGCAACTCAGCAAATCCTCATCTCAAAATAAATATAAATAAAGGGCTGCAGCTACAGCTCAGTGTGAAGGCCCCGGAATAAAGCCCCATTACCACACACACACACGCACCTAAATGGGCTACGGGGAGGATGGTCCTTTATTGTAATCTGTCACAGGATTACAGGTCACATCCTTAATGAAGTACAGAGTGTTGGTATGGGTCAGCCAGTGTTACATCTTCCTTCCACGCAGTTCCACTGTGTGGCTGTCAGCATGGAGGGTCTGTGAGCTAAGGGACCACGTAAAGTAAGCAGCCATATGATGCATGTCACTGTGGACTTTTTACCAGTACAACCAAAAAGCATTTCATAAAGACTCAGGGCATGTGTGCCACAGCCAGAGCTGGACAATACATGCATCCTTAGCCCTATCGATGTTGCTGCTTCCTTAACTCTCAAATCCAGAATGATTGCTTAGCCTGGATCATGGGGAGTGCTAAAGAAAAGACAAACTTCTACAAATTAATTTTGTGCACTACAAATTATAAAAATATAACCATCATAATTGACTATAAAATATAATTCCATATTCTGTGAGACAGAATTCCACAAAGTAGAAAGCGAAGACCTTCCTATTTATTTATTTGCATCACGTAAGTTTTCAGGCCCCTACTTCCCACTACTCCGCCTGTGAAGTACAAACACCCACCTGGGAACCCCACTTCACTGTGGATTTCCCTTTCCAGTAGAAATATTTCTGGCAGCTCATCACAGCTCATGCTCATTACTGTGCAGCATGATTTATTGTTATTAGTGGGTGGTAGGGAAAGAAGTTAAGACTTGCAAGACATCTGGATTCTATGTAATTTAAAATCATAGTTCTTCAAGCTGCTGATAGCAGGATGGAGCCCCCAGGGAGGGGAAGAGTCCAGACTCAGAGTGGATCAGAGGCTCCAGGTGACTCAGACACGACTGGACCTGGCATAACCCTTATGAAATATTCTTCATTTTGTTTGAAAATGTTGTGGAGCAAGCCAGTCTTTTTCTTTCTGATGATTTTTTTTTATTTTTGGTACCGGGGATTGAAATTGGGACCTTGCACTTGCGAGGCAGGCGGCGGAACCACTGAGCTAAATCCCCAGCCCCTTTCTGCTGATTTTTAAACTATTGTATCAGGAAGACATTTGACTTGAAGCCCAGTGATAATCATGTACTGCCACCTGGAGACAAAAAGGTAGAATTGAAAACATTTTAATTTCGATTTCAGAGTATATTCTACTTCCTGTGCTGGTTTGTGGAGTGCTGTGTGTAGGTGTTTATGTGCATGTGCATGTGCTAAGCATCACAAGTCATGATATTGACAGAGGGAAGAGCATTTGCTCACTATAAAAGGCTTTGGTCCTGGAACTATAATTTACCTCCCCTATGTGCTCAGAGTGGTCAGTTTCCTTAAGTTGAGAGGATTTTGACAAATATGCTGATGTTACATGATTCCAGAAATCCTCAAGGTGTTTTTTTTTTTTTTTTTGGTAAGGTATACATAACATAAAATTTACTATTTAACCATTTTAATGTATGCTATTCAGTGCAATAAATAATGTTGTAAACCATCATCATCACTAGTTCACCCTGTTACTCAGTTCTTCACCCCAAAAGGAGACCATACCCCTTAGGTAGACACCCATTCCTCTACTCCCACCTGCTGGCAGCCACAAAGCTGCTCTCTGTTCCTCAAGATTTGCCAGCTTTCCATATTTCACATAAGTAAAATCAAACAGTATGTGACCATTTTTGCCTGGTTTATCTCATTTAATCACGGTTTTCTGAGGTTACTCCATGTTGTAGCATGTATCATGTATCATTTTATGGATGAATAGTATTCCATTCTGTGAATTATACCACAGTTTGTTTCTCCCATCCATCAGTTAATACTTGCGTGCTTCCACTTTGGCTAAGGAAATAGTGCTGTTATGCACATTCATATGCATTATTTTCATTGTTTATATGGGTAAACCAAGGAGAGAATTTCTAAGTCATATTTTAACTCTTTTTAGCTTTTCAAGGAACCAAAAAGTGCTCTGTCACACAACTGCTGTATTGTTTTACAGTCTCATCAGCAATATTTAAACAACCCAATTTCTATAACCTCATCTACAATTGCTATTTCTAGAATTTTTAACTTTGTATGGCCATACTGGCGAATATGAAGTGATACCTCATTATGTTTTTTTCCCCTTTTCTCATATTTATTCCTTTCCTCCTTGAGAAAGATCTATCTCCCTGCTTCCTCTTGTCTACCTTTTATTTTGCTCTTTATTTACAATTTGTTACTTGTATATGAAAAACCATGTGATATTTAAGCTTCTGCATCTGATTTATTTTACTTAAACTTATGGTTAAAAGGTGCATCCATTTTCCTACAAATGGCTCAGATTTGCCCCATTTTAAAATTGGGTTGTCTTTCTGTCATTGAATTGTACCAAAGTTTTCAGATATATACATACATCATATACATAATATAGCTATCACATGTGCATTGTATCAATGTGTCTAATTAGATAACACTTATGCTGTTTGCAAATCCTGCTCTATCTCCTCTCCCCCTTCCCCTGTCCTCTCCCACTCATGAGTGGAACGCACATCAGGCTTGGTGATTCTCTCATGTGTTGGGAAACACCAAGCTGCATCTCCTTCAGCCCTGCAATTACATGAAGCGTGACCCTCTGGCCAGATATTAAGGAAACTAGGCAAGGAGCTCAATTTCCAAGTTTGTCACCCTGAGTTGGTGCACCTTATCCTCCAGAACGATTTGTGAAGTTCTTCCTTGGGAGTTGGTTTCTGAGAGTGTGATTTGGAAATAGATTTAAGACTGGAGGAGAAGGTGGAAGATAAACTTAACGCTCCTAACTTTCTCCCCCGTAAACGAGTTGATTTTCCAAAATAGCTCTTAAGTTTTTCAGACTATACAAAAAATTTCAAGTGTAATTCCATAATTAATTTACTAGTGGCTATGTTGTAGAAAAAAGACACAATTGATCTCTACCTTAATCCTTTTCTAGGGCTGAAAATGAGCTCAGCAGTAGAGCACTTGTTCAGCATGTGCAAGGCCCTGGGTCTGATCCCCAGCACCAAAATAACAACCAACGAAACAAAACAAAGACACTTTTCCAAATAAGAAGACTATAAATAGCAAGAATGAATATAAAGCGTAAAACATGCATTTTATTGTCCAGTGTACAAAGATGACTTCTAAAAGAATGACTCATCTTTGGAAATTTACATCTTTGGAAATTTACATGCCAGTATTTCTGTCAAACAAGACTTCTTGTGATTGATACTTTGTTCATGCTCAGAGCCTCTCACTATTAGATGATCGCATTTTTTACCCCTGCAGTAGGCCTGGGGCCAGGCTCCATGTCTCTTGTTCAAAGCACATTGTCTACATGAAGGTCAAGGTCAAATATGTTTGTTTCTGACTGGTTAAATAAGTTAGAAGACAGCCTACAAGAATATCACAATGCCATTATAAAGAATAAGAAAGATTTCCATACACATACTTACAAAGCTCTGAAAGATATACACTAAACAAAAAAGGCAAGTTTGGAATAATATGTAAAGCCTGCTAATGTTTATATAAAAAGAGATTCAAATATGCCTGTGTAGGTGTAAAAACCCTTGGAAGGATTAATACAAAACTATTCTCAGTGGTCAGAGAGGCTTGGGGAAGGGGATGTAACTTTCACCTTTATTCAGAGGGTTTTAAGAGAAATAAAGCCCAGTGATCCTCAGCCTAAGTTAAGCAGAGGAAGATGTGCAGCTGTACCAATGGCTGTCTCGGTTAGCTCCTGCTGCGTATCCCCGACCTGTCCTTGCAGGCTCTGCTCACAGCCTCTCCTAGGGACACGGTGGGCCCCACACCGAGGGGTCTTCGTACTGCATCCATGGGCCCAGCAGGCTCAGGCTGGTGCAGTCCCTGGCCCTGGGAGCTCCCGCCCCTCCCCAGGACAGCCTTCTCCCCAGCCAGGAGAACCTCCTCAGCGAGAGAAGAATCTGTCCTCTTTTCCCAAAGAAGACAATGCTCTGGTTTAAAATCACTAGATTAGTCTTATAAGTGTTTAGAGCAATCTGGTACGCAGCATCTGATCTCCCTTTCTCTCCCAGTGTGTCTGTGAGGCTCCTCCGTGGCTGTCCTTGCACTGCCCTATGTGCAGGGTTGTGTGGCGATGCATTTTTTCCTTGCTGCCACAGTGTGCTGTTTAGGGTGTGCTCTGTTGACCATAATGAACAATGCAGCAAGAACCACCCTGGCCTCTGTTTCTGTTGCAGATCCACCCGGAGTGACGTCCTGGGCCTTGACCTCTGTGCGAATTCACCCACAGAGGATGTTGCCCACCTGCGAGGTCCCTGAAGGCAGGGAGCGAGCTCCCCTCTGGACAACTCTTGTCTCCATCTCCTGAGCCCGTGTTTCACAGTATTCAACCACTCTTCAGGGTTGGGTTTCTCCCCTGTCCATGCTCCACCTATCAAATTGCTGCTCAGCCCCTGTTCCCAGGGAGCATCAAAAAGCCTGTCTATTTTTAGGCAGAAAGGGAAGACTACCCAGTACCTTCTGCCCACAGCCTCACCCAGTAGAGCAGATAAATATGCTCATTCCTGATTTGTGTTCTCAGAAACCTATAAAGGTCACATTTTCTCCTTTTCCACCTCACTCCACCTCATCATTTCCCAGTTTCTTTCCTGCACAGAAGGGTAGGGGGGTCCAAGGGAACTGTAAACATGAGGGGCATTTTGCTTTTTGCAGTTTGCTTCTGTTTAGTCCAAAGGAACACAGGTAAACGTCTCCTGGACAGCACTGGTGAAGGAAGGGGTGCAGGAGGACTGTGCGTGTGGCTGTGCATGGGCAGTGTGGGGCATCTGTGTGCCCATAGTGGTTGCAGGTGGACCCCGCTGGGGCTCAGTCCTGGACCACTATGATCTCTTTTAGGAAAAAAATTTAAAGCTAAACAAGGGTTGTAACACAAGACAAAATAACCTCTTCACTGTGATACAAGTAGGGAGTGCTCCTTGCAGTCTTCAGGAAATTCTGAGGAATCTGTGACCGTCCAAGGGTCGGAGCTGGGAGGGAAGCAGAGATCTCTGCTGCAGCCCAGGGTGCAGAGAGAGCCGGGGAGCAGAGAGAGTGCTAGTGCACTGCCGCACAGTGAAGAGCAATGGCCACAGACCTTGGCACTACAGTAAGGGTCCTCCAGCTCTCCTAGACAGCTGATGAGGACATGAAGAGCTGGCCTTTTAAAAGGATTGTCCAAGGAGAGACAATGGGTCATTGGAACAAAACTAGAGTCCAAATCCCTGACTCCATTAGCTGTCGGCTCCTTTGTCTTTACCAAAGGTGGAATCCCGGTCTCCACTGCTGCCCCCTCCCAGCCATGACAGGGCGGAAGTGGCAGGACCACAGAGAGTCTCCCTGTGGTTATGCAACAGGATAGCATACAGAATTATTTTTATAATCAAGCAAGATCATTACTGTGTTGTTGTTTGTGGTACTGCAGACTGAATGCAGGACCTTTACACGGGGCTGTATTCCCAGCCATTCTTTTTTTCTTATTTTGAGACAAGGTCTTGCTAAGTCACTAAGTTGCCCTGTCTGGGCTCAAACTTGCAATCCTCCTGCCTCAGCCTCCTAGAGTGCTGGGATTATAGGCATAAACCACACCTCCAGCAGTTGTTGTTTTGAATAATAATGATAAATAGCATTTGCAGACATAAGAAAGATCTTCTTTGCAACCATTTCCTTTCCAAAGTGGCTCCTTATGGGATTTTGAGTTGCTTGTACTTATAAGCCCCAAAGTCTTGGGTTTATTTCCTTCATTTTATTGTAGAAATAGAACTACTGATCAATCTGTAGGCTGGAGGAGCCTGGTGGAATAGAACAGCATTTTCTCAGGGCCTCCGGGGAGCCAGGCGAGCAACACACAGCACACTGTGCGATTCTCCTGGTGACACTGTGAGCTATGAACTGTTGCTCCTGCTTCAAGTCTAAGAAGCCAAAGCTCAGTAGTTGGGAGTTGTTCAGAGACAGGGAGTTTGATAAGAACGTGGCAAACCACTGGTACTGGTCTGGGTTGTCCTTTCCTCTCTGGGCAGCGTGAACTCTGTGCATACTGCCCTGTTACATCCACAGGAGACATTCCATTGGGAATTAGAAATACAATCTGCCTCATGCAAAGCAGGAGATGCACTTTTTTTCTGCCATGCTGGTGAGAAAAGAAGTGACATTTGCTCTGATCCCTGGAATAAGTCCTGTATACCAAACATAAAGGAATAAAAAGGAGAGAACCCTTCAGAGGATGGAAACTTTGGGATCTAAACTGTGGGCTTCAGGATGGCAGAGACCTTGAAGCACCCCAAAGGCTTGAAAGAATTGTGGATGGTAGTGGGTGCTCAGAAAACATGTGTTCAATAAATCTAGCACCAACAAAGATCTGATGAAAGAATTTTCTGGAGAACTTCCTTTCTTTGCCTTTTTTTTTTTTTTTTTTGGAAACACATGTCAGGTTTTGTAGTATTCCAGCTTCTTTCGCTACTTTCTCTTTTCTTCGCTCTTACCTCTTTCCCAGAGGTGGGGGTAGAATAGAAGCCAAGCTCCAAGTCTTGTCTCTGGAGGGACAGAAACACAGCTGTCTACTGGCCGTGTCCCACCAGTGGCACTTTCCTTACCAAACCCAGCACCACTGTCGTCAAACATTTACTTTCGTTATCTAAACCAACTGATGCAACAATCTTATGAGTATGAAATTAGGCAAAAGCACTTCATGTTAGGGGTGGAGGGAAAATGAATACTGTAAGGCTCCCAAGTCACCAGTTCATACAGGAGATGCTCGGTTTGCTAATCTATCAAGTCTCCTTTTACATTTTTCCTAAAGCCCACGTTTCCGAAGAGATAGACCAAGGAATGGCCTTGTCCGAAAAGACTCTGGAATACTTGCCTGGTATTTGCTGTTTGTTTTCCGCTGGTTCCTGCTCAGATTTGCTGTCCACACCCCGCCTCTCAGCCAGTCATCTCAAGAGCAGTGAGTGTTAACTACTGTTAAGGAATACAAAAATAATTGCAACAAATGTGCTAACATATAAAAGACCACATGCCAAGTGCCAAGATTTCTCATTTCCGTACTTCTGTTCACTGCCTGAGTCGTTTGTTTATGAGTCAACTGAATCTACTCTAAGAAAATACAACTCTGAACAAAGAAATATACCCTGAGAAAACATAACTCTGGATTCCTGTCTGGATGGCTCCTCCAGTTGCAGGAACTGTTTGGCTAAGACTGTTTGGCCCATCCTCTCCTAAACCCACTCCTGGGTTTTGTTCTTTAAGTGTGGTAAGACAGAGCCCTGGGCCTGCACAGTGTGGAAACTCCTTGGGCACAAGTGTCTCCACCACTCGTTTGTGTGTGTGTATGTATGCATGCTATCTGTTGCCTGCCCGGTGCCCCGGCCTGCTGGCTCTGGTGCTAGGTTCTGCTCTCCAGCCAGGCAGAGAGCTGTCGGCCAGCTCAGCTCAAGCCCAACAAATGCTTTCTGAGCTGTGACAGGAAGGGGTGCCAGTGCCCAGTGCCCTGAAACAGCGGCCTGTAGCTAGGTCCCACATCACCCCCAGAGCATGAGCCACAGCCACAGGCCCTGCCCTGGGCCTCCAATTAAATGAGGGGGCTGGGGCAGCTCTCCTATCTTAGCCTGGGTGCAGAGTCAGCCCCTGTGGTCCTGGGGATCTCCAGGAAGCAGTGAAGAGAGCCCCGCCCCACCGCGAGAGCCTGAAAAGGAACCTCAGAGCCCAGGTCCAGCCCAGCCCCGGGAGTTCCAGGCTGCTCTGGGTCTTCTGCTCCCGCTGAACAAATCAAAGCGAGGCCACGGATGAGGGTAAAAAGGAGAAAGGTCTGATTCAAAGCCAGCTCCCAGGACCCGAGGCCTAGTTCCCTCCAAGGACCATCTCCTTGAGGAGGGCAAGGGCCTTTTCCAGGGAGGAACAGAGGGAGGGGCACAGGGAGACCAGGTGGATCTGCGAACTGGTAACTGCCCCAGCTCACCACCCTCAGCCCCTCCCTGGCCTCGAGCCTGGGTCTGCATGTTCTGTCAGAGGCGGAGTTGCTCTGTGCTCTGCAGGAGGAAGTTTGGAGAAGTTGATTTTCTCTAAAAGGAAAAATCCCTAATTTTGAAAGTTCCATCTTGCAGGCCCAGCCGCAGGAAGGCGCCAGGCCCTACAGTGTATTCACGCTGTACTGTTGGGTATTTTAAGGCAAAATTGGGCCTACACTGGAAAAGATGTTCTCTTGCTCTACTGTGAAATTTCTCTGAACGAAGTATTTGTGTGCTTTGTGTGCCTGGGTCACAGGTGGAAAAGTGGGGCTGCACAGTGCGTGCCATACCACGGCCCCTTGAGCACCTTCGGAGGCCTCTGGGCGGCCAAGCAATGAGCGGAAGGCGAGGGAGGAAGCTTGCTGCTCAGGGTCCTCCGGGTCTCCGCAGCCAGACCTGAGCCCGATTCCCTTCTGTAAACGGTGCGGCTGCCAGCTTTGCACACGAGCCCTGCGCCTCTTCCCAGAGGCCTTCACGAGCTCCAGCCCATCTGTTTCCCCACATGTAAGACGAAGGGCTCGAACTGGGTCCTAAGGTCCCGGTGTGGTTCTGAGACCCAGCGAATCCCCAAAGACCGGGTAATTTTTCCCTCCCAGAAGGCAGCTCGGCCAAGGGACAGCGCGTCAATCCCACGAAGCACCAGCAGAGGGCGCGCGTCCGCCTCCCGCGCCTGCAGAATGTGGTCGTGTGGGAAGTCCTGGCCCCAGTCACTGAATTTGTGGGAGTCCTTCAGGACCCAAAGCTCCGGCCCGCGCCTCTCTTGGAGATGAAGATGCAGCCCAGCAGCTGCAGGCAGCCTGGGGATGGGGAGGACGCTGGGTTTGGTTTTGTTGTCTTCCTGGGTAGTCCTGGGCATTGAACATGTTAACCAAGTGCTCTGCCACTGAGCCGCATCGCCGCCGTCTTTAGATTTTTTTTTTAAATCGTGTTAGTACATCTTTGCAGCCCATGAAGTTCAGCTCGCCGCAGGGAGTGGCACATGTGCTTAGTGCATCTTGATTCTTTTTATCCCCTTCCTGTCCCCACCCGCCTCCCTCCCTTGGCCTCCAGATTCCTTTTCCATTAGTAGTAGTAGTAGTAGTATTTAGTTTGTGTGTGCAACATGCAATGTTCACACCCGTTGAGGGTGTTCAGCACATGCTCATGACACCTCAGAAATCTTTTTAAGTCCCAGCCCCTTCTCTTCCCCTCATCCTCTGTCTCAGCCACCCCCCCCCCCCCCCCCATTTGCAAAAGCTTCGCCTCCATACGTGGAGCTTTGACTTTGCACTTTATTTGTGCTTGCGTGACCAGGATGTATTTTCCACTCAGCTCCCAGATTTGACAGCCTGTCTTTGCTCTGAGACAGCCCCAGCTCGGGGTCACTGCTGGAAGAGATTCAGAGATGGGAAATCAGGCCTTGTGGACCTCCTCTCTCACTGAGGGACCCTCAGCCCAGCCCAGAGGGCATCCAGGGACCCCAGGGACCCAGTCTGGTCCTTCAGTGGCCCAGAATGGTGTCCTGGGAATTGCGTTTTAGAGGTAGAAACTGATCTAGTAAGCTTTGTTTTAACTCAACATCTGAGGACCCCGAAAGCAAAGACGGAGTCTTGTAAAGTACGGCAGCTGAGTTTCGGCTCACCCTTCCACACTGGAGACAAAGCCCGATATGTGCCCTGGCTGCCTTCTGAGTACGTTCAGCCTCACTGCAGCTCCAGGGCCCTGCTTCCTCTGCTGAGGTGACCCAGACCCTGAGAATGACAACGTGGCACCTCTGTCCTCCAGGTCCCCGTCCCTCCCTGCTGTCTCCATGGCCAGCAGGCCCTAAGATTTGTCTGGTTACAGACCTTGTCGGTCCGCTCCCGTTACTCACATGGTGTCAGACTTTGCACCTCAGGGACAGGGTGTGCTACTCATGAGAACTCATATCTACATTATTAATGGCCAACCGAGCAGTGAGTTACAGGGAAGAGCAGGTAACTCAGCTTGGGCCCGAAGCCCAGACCTTCTCCTGTGCACTGCTGTCCTCCTTTCCAGTGGGGTGGCTACAGTGGACGTCACCAGGGGCCGGGGGTTTCCTCTGAGACCTTAGCGACTTGCTTGTCACCAGCAAAAGCCTAAATTGCTGTCCTTCATCCTGCGGATTTTCCACATCTCCTGCCTCTGACCCTAGGGCTCTATCCTCTCGTGCCTCAGGAGGCAAAGGTGAGAGGAAGCCCTGCGTCTGTCTCCCTGACACTGTCCCACAGGGGAGCACGGTGGCCTCCAGATTTCCCAGAGTTGCGGCCTGGGTTTAGCTGCTCACCTCCAGGGGGCAGTAGGAGTAGAAGAATGAGGATGGAGAAGCCTGGGAGCCCGGCTGGGTCCTGAGCCTCCCGCTCTGACAGCCTCACACTCCTGCCCTCCCCCTCCGAGCCTCAGTCACAGAGCCCGCAGCGAGAAAGGGGTCTAGGGAGTCGCTTGCTTGCAAAACTGGCACAGCACTGTGAGAGGAGCAAAGACCTGGAATCGAAGCCGAGTTCTGAGCTCATGGTCGGGCAGCCACAGGGAGCCTTTGATGCCTCCTTTGAATCTGGGCACAAACTTTGTTAGTGTCAGATGACAACGCAGGCACAGAAGTCTGGGAACACCCAATGCCGCAGAGTGGGGTGCACTGTGTGGGTGAGGCTTCTGCTATCTAATGTTTGGGTCTGGTTGCTTAAGTAAGACGTTGCGAAGGCGACTGCAGAGTGTTTCAAATGCGCCCCCTGGGCACCCTGCGCGCAGGTTAGCAGAGCAGGAAGGAGGGGGCTCGCCCCATCCCCTCACGTCTCCCAAGGTGATGTATTGGCACCTGGCCCTGCCCATGAGCTCCTCTGCAAGGGCTGTGTGTTTGCCAACACCTGGGAAACTCTCTGAGCCACAGCCTGCTCCTCACAAAGCGGCCCACCAGGAGCAGGGGGCTCCTGGGTGTCTCCTGCCTGGACGTGGTGCCGCCTCTCAAGGCTCTGCAGCAATGAACAGATGAGAAAATGAGGCATGAGAAAATCAGAAAGCCCCTAACAGCCTCGTGGAGGACCCTTGGCCGGCCACATGCGTTAGCAGTGAGGCTGGACCCGCTCCAAATAGGAAAACTGCTCGCAGGAGACTGCCAAGTCCTTCTCCCGGAAAGAGGCCAGGTGCCCACGATCACTTATTCCTCAGCTGAGGATACGAAGACCCTGGATTTAAGAAGGC